CACTGCCATAAAATCACTGCTCTGATTTCAGCAATTCGAAGACTCTGTTCATAAAAGCATATATGTAATAATATAAGGTTATTATGAAGATACCTAAAAGTATGCACGAAGATGTCTATTATTATACATCTGTCACCGTAACGCCATAAGTTACAGCGTGCCGTTATTTTGCAGTATTGCACTGGGTATTTTTATCGAACCATATTAAGAAACGCGAACTCCAAATAAATATAGAACGGTTGCGCGCGTAAGCGTCCTGTAATAATAATAATGAACAAACATGGCACATTTTTGTGAGTAAGTAAAAATAAAGTAATGTTCACACTAGGTTGCACATTTCGCTTTAAAATCAGGGTATCAGTGATCCATTCTGTAATGTGGGTCGCCAAGGTGACCTTCGCAAACACACCTAAATTGAATATTAACTTATGAATATTTATTGAGTTAGCTGGATTGGTATTGAGGTCAACATTAGTTTCACTGTACCCATTAGCTTTTTTCCAAACCTAAAAATACCAAAATAAATATTTCACATAGCATTATCGTTTTTCTTGTTTATGCAGGCAGGATGTTATACAATTTTCTGAGGCTGATACGAGTTAATTGACAGATTATAACACTTTTATTTGAAGACAATTATTTTGCTGTGAGTTGATGAAATGTTCGAGCATTGTACTTGAACATCATTCTGGCATTCTGTCCTCCTATTTTTTTGTTTGTCGACCTCAGGTCACGTACTATGTGAACGTTAAACGGAGAAACGTTATCAGTATATTATTGGTCATATATTAGTAATGGTTTATTCATTAATGTGTTTAAGCCGATGACATATGACATGAATGTAATATTCAAAGCTTACTAACTTGGGCAATGTATTCTTTGGTCATTGTATTTATTACAGAGTTGGGATATATTAAACCGGCAGCTTTTTTGTCATATCCCATGCCAGTTTTTAATAGTTCAATCTCGCATTTATTTGCCAAGGCATTATACAATTGTTGAAAACAGAACTGCAAAACTGCAAATCCGATGTTGTAGGGATATCAATGTTGTCTTCAGTATAAGTGACCATTTAATAACTATATTAATAATCGGCGCCTGACTCACGGAAAACATGGCGGCATGGACGTCATTCTGTCAGAATCAACGCTTTTCTTTGTGTGGAGTCCGGTCACACCCTGGTTGCATCCATGTTTTTTTTTATTATTAGAGGACGCTTACGCGCGTAATCATTCCATATTTAGAATTCGCATTTCCTATTATGGTAGGATGAAAATACCCCGTAAAATGCCGCAAAACAACGGCACGTTGTAACTCATGGCGTTACGATGGCTGTACTATCTTCGTGCATACTTCTCGGTATCCTCGTAATAACCTCATATTACTAAGTCCATACTTAAGTTTTTTGTGTGGCCGTGTTTAATGGGTAGACAAAGTCCAATTCATAGCATTTAACGATGGTTACATGCGAAAAGTTGGTGTCAAATACATATGAGTGTTCATATTGTCAATTACATTACCTGTAGAAAACACAACTGCCATAAAAAGTGCGACTGGCCGAGGAGCTGCCATCACTTAATCGTGTCGTTGCATTAAAAATAACGATGCTCTTCCTGTAGTTCAAAGGTTGAATAGTTCAAAGGTTGATTGTATTTATTTAGTTATCTCTGACTAAATTTCAAGAATTGTGGGCAGAATTACATCCTTTTTAATCACGTTCCCAAATAGTGTACCAGATATATAATTTTGACAATTTACAATACGTAATTATTCATACAAACTACATAAACTGCATACAAATGTATTATGACAGATAACAAAGTTTAACATATTGAGGTAGTACAGCATGCATATGATTGTCTGATTAAATTGTTGCTGACATTTCCTTTAAACATAATATTTCACAATGTCCGATTCTATTATTGGTAATTGTATGTAAAATTATGATCAATGGTAGCTCTTTTGCCATATGAACATCAACAGCACAAATACAAACTATATACGCTAAGTTACTTATAGCGCTATAATTAATTTTTCGAAAAAAAGAAATGCGCAAAATATAATACTAAATCTTTTAAAAGAACCGCTACCCAAGTTGGTCGGAAATTGAACGTGATGTAAGTATGGAAATGCACTTATTAATTTTGCCGGAATCTTGTGGTTTGGTGCCCATTGAGTTTTTGTCATTTATTTCCTTATTACATTTCATATTGAGAAGCTTGATTTAACCAGTCACGTGGTTTATCGCAATCATGTGATGAATACAATTAATAATTAGAAATATTTCGTACACAGCCTGTTTGAAATGCATTAAATTATATTTTGTTGGACACGATTAATAAAAAAAATGCGATTTTGCCCACAGCCGTATTTTTATAAGTTCTTTTTTTCGATAAAATAACTTGAAAGCAATAATTGTATTTGCATTCATTAAAAATTACACCCTGATTACCAGTAATTATCAGTAGCTTCCAACGAGTAAGTTCAGACTAAACAAAAACTGAAATTACTGGTGTTTTGCTTAATAAAAGACCTTTTAAAAGCACTGAACTAAATCCATGTTCCACTTCAAGAAAGTCAGCTTGTTTTCATTATAGGAAATCGCACGTATACGTAGCAACATATCATTTGTACTGATAAACAAAGCATCAAATAGTTTTACAAAATAACATTTTCTAACAAATGTACGTATTGATGCCATTGACTGCAGTAATATTACAAATAGTGACCGGGTTAAATGAGTGATACAACGTAATTTTTAAAAAAGTCTGATTCTAGAATTATATACAGATCATACACCCCCATTGCATCCCGAATTTTCAAATATAGAAAAGGATTGCATTTCCGTGATCTTGGGAATCTCACAAATAAACCTCTACCACTTTGTTCTTTGTACCATTTTGAAAACACATGGTTAATGAAGCAACATGGCGATTCTGTGTCTGTGATCTGTGTGTATTTTTTTATTATTCGTGTTATTTTCTCATTTCTTGTTATTGTAACTCTCAACCACTTCGTTTAGTAGCCGGTGTTTATCCGGTAATGCATCATGCGAAAAACCACTGCGAACAACTCCCAGTTTTCTACAGATCATTGATCGAACGTACACAATTTACAAAGTTGTCGGTAGATGTTGAGATGAACATTTATTTTATATAAAAGGTTTAAAATGATACAAATTTGCATATTAAAAAGTGAATTTATTTCTGACAAATAATTGAATATAAATTCCGTTACAAACCTAACAAAAAAGTCAAATTGCTTATTATAAAACTAACAGTGAATATTAATGATACGCTCCGACGACTGAACCTTGAACAGCAAAGATTATTTCAATATATGTTGGATGTGTTACCGATAAAAAGATAAAATAAATAAACAGAACAGCCTCGAGTTATTAAAATGACAAGTGAACTGAAGACACAGATACTTTTTTTTAAAATCACGCCGTTCTTTCGAATGAAGATCTTTGCTAAAAATCAATCCTTTGTTGTTGCGATGTAAGCGTGACGAGATGCAAGTGCTCTGCTTTTTTATTTATTCTTTATTCCACCCATTAACGATCCACGCATAGACGTGATAAACTCATCTCATTAGTAAACAATTTCTATTGTAACCCACTACCCTAGAGCAATCGTCTCAATGTTATCGCTATTGTCCACCCGAGAGTAACAACATCCAGATGAGTGGTCTGGGTATCATTGTGACCTATGCCGTGGACTTCCCGTTTGTTTGTAATGTTGCATAAAAATCCCGGGATGAAATGCTATACCCACAAATACACGTAACTACATTAAAATCATTATAAAATAACGTACTAGCACCAAATCGATTTTGAATTATAGACCAAAAGTGAAACTGACCTTCGCATAAATATGCAAAGTTGAATAATAATAATGAATTTCACAGAACCAATTGTTTTTTTCCCGTGTTCATGTCGTACATTATCTTCGGTAATAACTTCCAAAGCGAACTGCCAATGCTTCAAATTAAAGTAGCGTTGCAACTTGCAAACAGTTTGTCAGTTTTGCGATCGGTCGTCGGTTAAGCAGCGTACAATTTTACGAAAAATTACGAACGTTCAATCTCGTATTTCTACAGATAATCTGTATCTTTGGAACAAATAAAGCCTGTGTGTAGTTTGACAAGCATCGTCAAGCGAGGACATACAAAAATAGTTGGTAGTACACAGACAATAGAGAGGGAGTCCAGAGAAGGAACAGCCAACACGCCGTTACATGGGCGAAATCTTGGTGGATTATTCACGTTCGTACACGTAATATTAGGTTTTGAGAGCTGCGGGGTCCGGAAATGTACACTATATAAACCAGAACGCATGCGTGAGGAACAAATATATGCAGTCTTTGATTTGCCAGTACTTCAATCCATGTTTATCATTATTGACATAAGCTGTTTATTTTATTGATTCAGCTCTTGAACTGACTCTTGAACGGAATTGCACGTTTCATACAGGATTAAAGGAAGGGTTGTAAACAGCATATATGTAAATTGTATATGGATCACCACCAACAACTATCGATCTATACGTCTTCCAAAGCTATCAACAATATTAATGAGGTTGTTACATAGCTCAACTATTTCCGAACTGATACTTGATAAAATGCATACCTTATAGTACAAAACGAGTCAAAGGTAATGTTTGTTGTGGTCCAATTTACCAAACTAATTTACAGATTTCATTATTGAATACTAGCATTATACACTTAAAACAAACCACATAAACTCTATCTTCTCTGTTTAGTTCATTTTATTTCTCTCCCTACAAGTTTGTTTCCTGTTGAGAAAGCTACGCAATCTATAAACTCCTCTCTATTCAAATACAAACACATTTTTAAGAGGAACATTAAATTCTTGAGTATAAAAATTCATTTCTTATTTTTACGATGAATCCGAATATTCGTATTTTAATAAAATATGAGGGTGATACATGCATATAATACAAAGGAATTGTTTCAATTTTAATTTGAGGGAAAGTTATGTTGGGCATGCATATAATGACTGATTAAAAAAAAAAACATGATTGAAACATTGAACATTGCTAAGTCCAAAACATACAAATACGTTTTAGTACTCTGGTGCTTTCACGTCGCCTTGTGCATATACTGGTTGGTATTGGGTCATGGGATTAGAAGCTGCTGTAGGCATATAACCAACACCGGGAGATACTGATGATTGCATCTGAGAGCTTTGAGCCGTCACAGCGGTGGGAGTTGCTAAAATGAAAGAAGAAGAATATATTACCACACACGCGAGTATGCTTAATGAGCAGTACACCTTTATTATAGGTCAGGCTAGAACAATTCTGTTTTATTGCTGCTTAAGGAGTTCTGACTGTTCCAGCAGTAAGCCTTAATATATTTTATTCCAATGACATATATAAACCATTGGATTTTAAATAAATCAGAAAATTTAAAATATTGCACTTTTTTAATGGTATTAGATCCTCTTATTACTTAGTGTTTAATTAGGATGTCAATAAATCAAAGGAACCAGTCATTGTATGACTGCTATGTCATCAACATGCATGTTGTCTGCCGTCGCGTTTTCCTCATATATGAAACTTAGATGGTCATTTCTCACCATCGGTTCTTATTATGCAATAATTGAGTAAGGCTTGGCCTTGGACTATGAAAAAGATTAATTTACATTAGATAAAAATGTAACCGGGCTTGAACGTCATCATAGGTGTCACTGCTTGAGCACAACTGAAACATGGCACATGACCTAATATACAGTTCTTGAAAGTATCATTTAGACGTATTAATTCGAGAAAAAAAGATCATGTGACCTAATATATAAGACAATTTCTGAAAATGTTTAGTGATGATGTAATAAATATGATGATTCAGGCAACACAATATGTGTCATGTCACATGATTAATTATGCATAAATCAAATTAAAAACTAAACGCATCTAAAATGATATTTTTGGTTGTGGTTATTAACCTATTAATTGATGCATACAACCAAATTCGTCCCTAGAACTTAAATTTAAGATATTATTATTAATGATAATACAATTATTGAACTAGAATTATTGGCAGACATGCAACGGGAATAAGCGTACAAAATGATACACAGAGCCTACATAACATACGCAAACTTAGACCAGTAAAAACAGGATTATTACATCTTGCATGCATGAAGTGATTAGATTGCACAGAAATATTAAAGATTGTTGTACACAAAGAACTATCCCATAATAAACATGGTAAATTGTAAATAATATATTTAAAATGTAAGATAATACTCCACTTACCAGTGTTAGGTTGTTGTATATATGTAGTGGTAGTTGTGCTACCACGACACGCATTGCAACAACACACACATACTGCAACACATATTATACATACAGCAACCACTATTACCAAGGACACGATAAGAGCAATAATACCAGCACTGAAGAAAAAACAAAGCATACTCATTTTAACAGTGCATGATAATATAATAATTAACCATACAGGATGATGTTGATATGCAACCATATTTATATCTGGCACGTACCAAACCTTGTGCACACTGGGGAAAATTTATCCAGTTTTGAGTTTCAGCGTTGGTGCAAAACATGATGGGTATGTCTCAGATGTACATCATTATGCATGGTAGAAATGGTAAAACAGTTAGTAATATGTAAAATTGTAAAACAAAATTTGTGCTTGTGGAGGATATAATGTATTTATTAATGAAATATATCGTTTGTCAAATTTATTTCTTTTTCTCCCGA